GTTGCCTACCTACCGTGGTTGAAGAAATTACATGTTTATGTCTATAGTTAAAGCCTTTTGAAAATATGCTTATGTTCTTGTTGCATGCAATGTACAGGGTCTCATTAATGAGGTTGACCAGTTGAAGAACCGTTCCCTGAGTCAGAACATAGATTCTCTGTTAGGCACATGTGGTTGAACTTTCTGCAATCTTTCAAGGGAGATATTCTGAAGATTCAATTGTGGAGGATAGCAAGGAGCAACACAGTTGAGTTATCTGAGAAGGGCATGCAGAAAGCTGTTGCCAACAAGTGGCTTCATGAGTTGGAACCCAACACGGGTTAAAGCTTTTCAAAGTGATTTGCCAAAATGTGATATACTGCTTAACAACATATATGAAGTAAACTAGGTCAATCCCGGAAATAGCATCTGGATTTTAACATTTCTGGCAAAAACCATCTGGTTTGCATCTACTTTGGACACAAGCAATTGATCAGACATAGAACAGAGACTCATATAACTAATGTAGATTCATCAAACATAGCAAAGGTTCAACATAGCATTGCCACTTCAGCATACACACCATTACATCACATTAAACCAAAGTAAACTAGGACTGACACTAGTACATCACAATAACTACTAACTAACACCAGTGGATTATCCCAAAATGAACCTACACAACGAGCACTTCTTTAGCATCTTCACTTCTCAAGCAGCACCAATGGCATCTTCACTTCTTAAACATGAGCATCACCACAACAACAACCATCATCTTCATGAGCATCACCAGCTCTCTCCGAAGCATCATCACTGCACAAGCTTGCTCCCTAGTCACCACATTTGCACAGTCATTCTTTAGAGCCTTCTTGGACCAGCTAGTGGATGCATTCATAAGGGTAAGCTCCTATGCATTCAAAAGTTCCTCCCTGCGTTCCTCCGCAACACCAATAGCATCCACAACGGCATCGTCGACGAGATAGTGTTTGTCAACAACGTACTCAACGTATTCCAATCCCCAATGCCAGAAATCGCAAGTCACCTATCCCAAAATACATGCCAAGGTCAAAAACTTGAATCTTTGCATCCAAAAAACAAAATAGAAATCATGGAAATGAAAAAAAATATCAAAGAGAATCACTAACCCCATGTTTCTGGCATTTGCAAAAGATCCACCCGCCGTGCTTGTCAGTCGTGAAGACATACATGTGCACCTTCTCCTTGCTGCTCGGGCAACAGATGAGGGGCAACACCAATGCCCTACCGCAGACAACAAGGACGGAGGAGCTTGCGACAGACATGAGCACCAGAGGGGAAGGAACTGACGCTGAGATGGCATCTCTCGGGTTCAGGCAGGTTCCATAGCGGCGGTGACCAAGGTGGTGGCGGAGCAACGCGAGAGGGGAGGATGCTAGGGATTGAAGAGGGGCTGCCGCGGATTAGGGATTTGATGAATTGGGGATTTTTGACTTTTTACACAAAACACCTTCATGCAAGATTGGCCTGATCAGAGAAGAGTATGTGACGGTCAACAAGTGGTCAAACTAGGCCTCTATGCACCGCATACATCGAATAATGACCTTTTTTCACGTCAAATCGTATATAGTGACCATAATTAGCGTATTCCCAAGTGCATGGACCATCGGTGTATTTATCTCTTTTTCCTTTCAAGTGGGCAGTGGCGTGCGTGTCTTCGCGTGGGTAGCTAGGACAACCAATGTTGCCCTGTGTGGGCCGTGGTGACGGTTTTAACCCAATTTTCCATGTATTAACCAAACAAAACTTTTTTCTTTAATGAATTGAGATCCTTCAAGGCCGACTTAGAAAAACTTGATAGCTGGGCTGAGTCTGTTTTGTGTGACTATATCTCAGAGGTTAATATCGTAAGAGCATCTCCACTAGTCCCTCCAAGAGGCCCCCCAAGATCACTTTTTCACCGCTGACAGTGAAAAAAGTCCACACTCACGCCTCTAGGATCACTTTTTTCACCGGATTCGTGAAATTTTAGCGCCGGCATTCCCACCCCAAACCCACCCCCTGTGGGCATCTGGGGGCGCCGACGATTTGTTTTTGCATGCAAAGGCCCACATGCAGCCTCGCAGCACCCTCTCTCCTTTCACTTTTCATCTGATACATGCAGGAGAGCTCTCTCTCTCTCTCCTTGTCTTTTCTTCCAACAACCACGCACCCGCGCCGCTCGCCGTCTGCTTGCCGCCGTGCTCGCCGTCGGGGCCGCCCTACGTGCATGCTCGCGTGCGGGTCCGGAGCCGCGGCAGCTCGTCGCTAACGCCGCGGGAGCTCGTCCGCCGGTGTGTGGCTGTGGCATGGCCGGGCTGGAGCTCGCTGCACGCGGACGCCGGCTCGCTGCCTGCGCGCCTCCGCCACCGCACGGTCGCGGTTGCCCCTCGTCGCGGTCGCGCTGCTTCAACCTCCGCCATCGAGGCCGAGCTGGAGGCCAGGGAGCGGGCGGGACGGCCTCCTGTACGCGCGGTGGCCGGGCGAAGCAGCGCGGGCGCGACCGTGGACGCCCGCCTGGACGACGCGGCCGAGACGATGTGGACAGAGCTCGCTGGAGCGCGCGACGGCCGGGCGGAGTGCGCGCCAGCCGGGACGACGACGTCCGCGACCGCTGCGCCTGGCCCGCCCTAGGCCGCGCCTGAGCCAGACCTTGCGGCACCCCGCGCCCGCCCGCACTGCTGCCGCTGCTCATCCCTGGCCGGCGCTTCAGACGCCATGGCCGGAGCAGCGCTCCCGCGCACGGTCGTGCGCCCCTGGCCGCGCCCCCTGCCCGCTTGGTCGTGCCCCTACGAGCACTTGCGAGCTGCTGCTGCCTCCTGTGCGCCGCGCCTCGCCTCTGGCCGCGCCCCCCGCCCGCTTGGTCGTGCCCCCGCGAGCACTTTGCTGCCTCCTGCGCGCCCCGCCTCGCCTCTGGCTGTGCCCCCTGCCCGCTTCGTCGTGCCCCCGCGAGCACTTGCGAGCTGCTGCTGCTTCCTGCGCGCCCCGCCTCGCCTCTGGCCGCGGCCCTGCCTGCTGCTTGCGTCGCTGCTGCTGCTGCCTCGCCCTGCCTCACCTCTGGCCGCGCCCCCTGCCCGCTTGGCCGCCTCGACGCCGCCGGCGACCTCCTTGGCGAAGGGGATGGACTCCGCGCTGTTGTCCGCGACTGCACGGCGGCAGACCGGCG